TGTCCTTTCTCAATATCACTGCTTTTGGTGATAAAGCCTGCGGCCGGGCGGGGAAGGAAGTGAAGACACGGGGCTGGGAGACGAGCAGGAAGCAGGAAGTGTAGGAAACTGGTCAGGTTCAGAGAGGAATCGGCAGAACAAAGACTGAGCCCTCCCTGGCAGGCCTGGTGCAAGGCCCGACCGTGAGCGTGTGCCAGGGAGCGGGGCGCCTGTGCCATAGTGACAGCAGGGAGGCCTGTCTTGGACCCCAGCGCTCACTGGCCTGCAGGCGTGTCCAGGGGGGCCCGCCCGTGTCATTTAAAATGTTCCCTTCACATTGAAAAGAGTATGTTTGCCATTCTCCCTTTATGGCAGGGCCAATGGGAGAAAAGGGGGCATATGGGATACTTTCAACAATAAAGATTTAAAAAAAAAGAGTAAAAGGAACAGGTAAAATTAATTTTAGCAATACATTGTATTTGGCTCAAATTATCCAAAAATAGGAATCAATATGGAATCAAGATAAAAATAACGAGATTTTACTTTTCTTCATACTAAGTCCTTTCCAAATCTGGTGTGTATTCTACCCTTAAAGCTATGCACCGAATGTTCATGTTCTCTTTGAAATACGGCATTTCCCCGGTGGACAGACACGCCTGGCTTCCTGGAGTGGACCCCACGCCAGGGCGCAGCCTCAGTGTCCTGGCCAGCACCTCTGCCCGGCCTGGGCCCCGGGAACGGCCGCTCTGAGCACTGCCCGCCCTCTCCTCGCTCACGGCACCCACAGGCCTAGCCTCTGTTTATTTTGGTCACTTCTTGGTCTGTCTTCATAAAATCTAACTACAGATTCAGCAAGAGCTCCCGGCGGCATTGGGTTCCAAGAATGGTCCTAATCTAAAGCCACACACACAAGACCTTATCGAGAATTTAAGTGAGAGGCGCCCTCCCAGGCCTACTGCCCCCACCCCCGCACCAGAGGCCCCAAATGCACACGTGGGGGGTGGCGGGTGGGGGGATGTACCTTCCACAGTGAGACTAGGAGCCGGCCTGGGAAGTGTGGGAAGAGCTGCTCTGTACACAGCGGCCCATCACACCAAGGGCCTCCCGGCTGGCAGCCCCGTTATAATCTCCCAGGAGCCCAAGGGGCCCACGGCTCATCGAAGGCCCAACTCTATGCCCCTGTTCACTGCCCGGCTCACTGGGACGGCAAGAGGCCTCGCAGGCTCTCCTATCGTCCAGGTGCAGCCTACGGCTCTGACCAATGACTCCTATCCCGTCAGCCCACGCGGGCTCCTGGTGAGCCCTGCAGCTAAGGCCAAGGTGATAAGATGAAGGGTTATCAGTGGGAAAAGCCTGGAGAGCCACTGTGCGGGCCACGGCTGTAGAGAGATAGCTGCACATCCCGATACCCAGGGCGACGCGGGGCAGGGGACAGGGGGCTGGGCATGGAAGTCAAGCGAACACGTCTCCACACACATCTGCAACATGTCAGACAGCAGGTCCTGTGTTAAGGTCCTGGTACAAATGACTTAAGATCGAAGTGTTCTGCTCAGGCAGTTCAGGGGGCATTTTCCGAAATTGCTGCAAAAGGTTGAAAATACTGTTATTCGAGTGGGTATCTGAATTTTTGAAAAAGGTGTTGCGAATGTTCATGTTCTCTTTGAAATACGGCATTTCCCCGGTGGACAGACACGCCTGGCTTCCTGGAGTGGACCCCACGCCAGGGCGCAGCCTCAGTGTCCTGGCCAGCACCTCTGCCCGGCCTGGGCCCCGGGAACGGCCGCTCTGAGCACTGCCCGCCCTCTCCTCGCTCACGGCACCCACAGGCCTAGCCTCTGTTTATTTTGGTCACTTCTTGGTCTGTCTTCATAAAATCTAACTACAGATTCAGCAAGAGCTCCCGGCGGCATTGGGTTCCAAGAATGGTCCTAATCTAAAGCCACACACACAAGACCTTATCGAGAATTTAAGTGAGAGGCGCCCTCCCAGGCCTACTGCCCCCACCCCCGCACCAGAGGCCCCAAATGCACACGTGGGGGGTGGCGGGTGGGGGGATGTACCTTCCACAGTGAGACTAGGAGCCGGCCTGGGAAGTGTGGGAAGAGCTGCTCTGTACACAGCGGCCCATCACACCAAGGGCCTCCCGGCTGGCAGCCCCGTTATAATCTCCCAGGAGCCCAAGGGGCCCTCGGCTCATCGAAGGCCCAACTCTATGCCCCTGTTCACTGCCCGGCTCACTGGGACAGCAAGAGGCCTCGCAGGCTCTCCTATCTTCCAGGTGCAGCCGAGGGCTCTGACCAATGACTCCTATCCCGTCAGCCCACGCGGGCTCCTGGTGAGCCCTGCAGCTAAGGCCAAGGTGATAAGATGAAGGGTTATCAGTGGGAAAAGCCTGGAGAGCCACTGTGCGGGCCACGGCTGTAGAGAGATAGCTGCACGTCCCGACACCCAGGGTGACACGGGGCGGGGGGCAGGGGGCTGGGCATGGAAGTCAAGCGAACACGTCTCCACGCACATCTGCAACATGTCAGACAGCAGGTCTTGGTACAAATGACTTAAGATCGAAGTGCTCTGCTCAGGCAGTTCAGGGGGCATTTTCCGAAATTGCTGCAAAAGGTTGAAAATACTGTTATTCGAGTGGGTAGCTGAATTTTTGAAAAAGGTGCTGTTCTTCTTATATTCGTTTTCCTAAAAATTAACACATTAACAGTGGAATTCCTTCTCTTCAACTCAGCTTTCTTTGGTCTCTTGATTAAGAAACAGACACACACACACACACACACACACACACACACACACAGCCGCTCTTTATCTCCAGCACTTGACAGTCATGTGGCAACCTCTGGGACTGCCCTTATGAAGATAAGTTATAAACTGATGATGACCCCTCACTTCCTCTGAACCCCACGAATGCCGACGCCCAGACTGGCTTCAATATATCCTATCGAATGAGTTCTGAGGAAGCCAGATGTCCTAATAAGGGTTTTTTTGTCAGATTCCCTCATATAAGATACCATATGTATTCATCATCTGCTTAAAAATATTTTTTAAAATTAGTGTGCAACCCAATTTATTTCCTCAAATTCTATGTTCACAGTCGTTCCATGTGGCGTATCCACATAGCTCCCTTCTTTAAATAAAAGGAGGTACAGCTCCTGCCGTGGTTAGGGCTGTCTTAACATACCAACAGGACACGTGGGAACATGGTATGAGGGAACACGGACAATGGGCATGAGAGGGGCAGGGCTGGGCTACCCAGTGGGCTGAGCACGTGTGGGCACCAGAAAACCTTCCTGACACTGAATACCTCAGAAACAAAATAACACTGGGTTCCCGTACACTTGCTCCAAGTTCATGGAGAAAGGGGCCACTCCCTGTAGGGCTCAGGGTCTCTACATTTCAGCCTCAACCTGGGCCTGGTCCCACCGCCACTTACACCTTCATCGAAGGTGCTCTGCGCCCCTGCTCTGGGCCCCACCCTGCCAACTGGAGGGGGACAGAGGAGGGGGACGGCCGCTTGCCCAAGTAGCTCAATCCACGAGAGCTCCTCGTTTCAAAAATTTCCCTTCTTAAAATATTTTTATTGATTTCAGAGAGGAAAGGAGAGGGAGAGAGAGAAACGTCAGTGATGAGAGAGAATCATGGATCGGCTGCCTCTTGCACGCCCCTCACTGGAGATCAAGGCCACAACCCGGGTACGTGCCCTGACCGGGAATCGAACCGTGACCTCCTGTTCCTAGGTCAATGCTCAACCACTGAGCCACACCGGCCGGGCACAAGGATCTTTATTCCCATCAAAATCTACATACGACCAAGTGATGAACTAGTCCTCTTTGCACCTGGGTGATGCCAAGAATGCCCCTAAGATTTGACAGCTCCCAAGGGACTGCCCAGCACCACCCCCCGCCCCCCAAGTCACCAGCCACTGTCCGGAGGACCCTTGCTAAGGCAATGGTTTTGCAGCAGAGAATGTGGGGTGCTCACCAGTTTCAAGTGTTTCCCCCGAGAGCCTCATAGCCTGTTTCCAAGCCCTCATCACAGATGCACCTGTATCTCTAGTCATGTGATCATGTGATTATTTCACTCATGGGAAGCCCAAGCAGGAACAGAAACCACGTTTCTTTCTGCTCACCAAGGGGACCCACAACGAAAGAAACGAAGATTTTGCCCAACCAGCGTGGCTCAGTGGTTGAGCATCGGCCTGCGAATTGGAAGGTCACAGTTCAATTCCCTGTGCCTGGTTCACGGCTGGAATCCCAGTGTGGGGCGTGCAGGAGGCAGCCGGTCAATGGTTCTCTCCCTCTCCCTTCCTCTCTGAAATCAATAAAAAAAAAAAAAAAGGAAAGAAAAGAAAGGAAGATTTAGAGAAACCTAAAAAACGAGCATTTAAAGCTTTCTCTAATGGCTGAAAACGAGGAGCTATAAAATCCGTCTTGTTTATCTGGATTTTGTTTTCTAAAAACGTTCATTCTCTTTATAAAAAATTACTTTTGGTTTAGTTGGGTTGTGATCTATCGTTTCTCAAAACTTCTGGAGTTTATTGATTTATCTTTGATTTTGTTGCTAATCCTCACCTGAGGATATTGTCCCACAAATTTTGAGAGAGAGAGAGAGAGAGAGAGAGATCAATTGGCTGCCTTTCAACCGCTGAGGTTAAAGGGCCTCTGAGACCCATAAAGGTCTGGTTTCCTGTGACTCTCAGTGACGTTTCTTGCTGAGCTGGCTTCTTCACCGGCCAGCAGCACTTGCCCAAGGGCAGCCCCCACTCTAAGGGTCTAGTCTGTTGCAGGCCAGCAAGCCCTCTCGACCAGTGGTTCTCAACCTTCCTAATGCCGCGGCCCTTTAATACAGTTCCTCATGTTGTGGTGACCCCCAACCATAAACTTATTTTTGTTGCTACTTCATAACTGTAATTTTGCTACTGTTATGAATCGTAATGTAAATATCTGATATGCAGGATGTATTTTCATTGTTACAAATTGAACATAATTAAAGCATAGTGATTAATCACAAAAACAATATGTAATTATATATGTGTTTTCCGATGGTCTTAGGCGACCCCTGTGAAAGGGTCGTTCGACCCCAAAAGGGGTCGCGACCCACAGGTTGAGAACCGCTGTTCTAGACTTTATACATCAGTAACCCGGGCCAGGGCCGACTGCTCTGAAAATAGCAAAGCAACTTCCTACCCATCACCCCAGGGGCAAAGGCAGGGGGACAGATGGGGAAAAAGGTTTAGATTGTTCCGCTTCACCTGGCAAAACTGACTGCTTAGTAATCCTGCCTAAATAGAGCAAATCATGTTTTAAAAAAATCAGTGTAAGTGCATAATACAAACAGACATGTTTTTGGCTCGAGTTCTATTTTGAAAAATAAGAGGGGGGGGGGGGGGGCGGAGAGAGAATAAAAACCCGGCTGATCCTGCGAATGCTGGCAGCGCCACGGAGCAGCAGACCCAACTTTCTAGGGAGACACCACGCCGCGCGCCTCGGAGAACGTGGGTCCAGCGAACCAAACAGACGTAAAGCAAATCGCCCAGCAGGTGCCCAGCCAACCCGACACCCACTATGGGCGGAGCGCCCCGTCCAGCGCTTCTGGGTCCAAAACCCCCAGGAGGAGGTCACCCTGCCCTCCTCGCGGCGCTGCAAGCGG